AAACAACGCAGGAATACACATCTGGCATGGGGACTTCTGCCCACAGCCCCAGACCGGAAGTGCGACCGACGCGCCACCACCACGCCGTGACGTCACAGAGATGAGTTGGTGTATAGAGTCCCATACCATTTAGTTCAGCGAAGTTTCGTCGTCAACATTCGTGTTCTTTAGTGTTAATCCCCCCCCCCCCGCCCCCCCCCAAAAAAAAAAAAAATGTAAATATCCCAAAATGCCTCGACAAAACAAAATGTTGGAGAGAACAAAAATAGAAGAAGTAAGCCCACACCATGAATCGAACTCGGGTCCGCTATGTATGAAGCACACATCGTACCACTAAGGTATACGCTACCGATTTGGAAACGAGGGTTGCAACCGCTGCCTATTATGGCGGCGGCAGCGCATATCTCCACGAACCATCCAATTCGGTGTGAACGTCGTTGCTGGGGTGTGTATCGCCTGCGCGTTAACAATATGCCACCGCGGGTCGGAGGGCGGTGCCCTTGGTATTCCTTGGGCGCGGCCGGTCAGTGTTTGCCCTGCCCAGTGGCGGCTGTTTCAGGGAGGGGGGGGGGGGGGGGGGGGCAAATCACATGCTTTGCCCCCCCACTCTGAGAAGTGGGAGGGGGTCAAGCCGTCCCCCCCCCCCCCCCCCCCCCCACGGTTTGTACGCCAATGGCTGCTGATTGTACCGCGAACCGGTTAGTTTCGTTTTTTTTTTTTTTCGTACAAGGAGATCAGACGCTCTTTCGAGTGCGTCGCGGGAGTGAAATCTAGGCTCTTTGGACGCGACGCCATTCCGACTTTTGGTAGATTATTTCGCAACATTATGACAGAACTCCATGAAAGAAATGTATGGCATATTTCGTTTTTGTATTGACGATATAAACAATCTACATGCTATTTGGAAATCGCATCGTACAAAAAATCTCGGAACACGGAAATAGCCGAAAAACAAAACGGTAAAAACGTTTTTTTTTTTTTTTCTTTTTTTATCTGTTGCGAATGGGACAAAGGGCCCACTTTGCGATGACTTTGGAAGCCCACATCCCCTCTCCGGTATCCTCTTTTTAACTACCGAACAATAAACAGCCATTCTCGCAGTTCTCAGGAGGCGCCCTACCCGAAACAACCTTCCCGCTTCTGCCATCATTCGTTATCAATTGGGTCGGTTCGTTTGTATTGTTCGTTAACAGTTGGTTAGGTTCAAGTGTCCAATGTCTGTCCTCCTTGCTTCACCTCACTTCTCCCTCTCCCGAAACAACCTTGGAGACATGGCACCGTAAGATAAAAGCTGTGTCAGGGAGAGCTCACCCGAACATTAATAGCTTCATCGATCTGATCAAACGGGATGAGGCCTACACGAGACATAATTAAATATCAAACAACGCAAATACGAGAAGTATTCCAAAACGAGTATTTTTTTTTTCTGAAAAGAACCGCCGTGTTTAAATAAATTAGTAAGTTAAAAAAACTTTGAAATGGGGGCGCAGCGGCGCTACCCTTTTGATGGCTTCCTGGGCGGCACCTCAGCTCGCCTATCCCCGGTCCTGGTATAAAGTCCTGGATATTGAAAAATATGATGCTCTTTTTTTTCTTTGGGGCTAATTTGAAAGAGCAACTATTTTCTGCGGTTGCGGTCGTTACGAACGTTTACAGTTAGGGTCGATAGGTCCTTATCAGTGCTCCATTTTCTTTTTTTTACTAACTTGCAAGCTAAATCCCGTTCGGAATGTGTCGTTAGCCTACTGTTGTCCTTACTGATTTGTGTTCCCTACACCGCGGCTTCGACTTATCATGAATATATCTATCCTTCTTTTCACCCATAAGAGCGTCGCCTCTTTTACTATTAATTACACTAAACTCGGTCCTAACATTTGTCCGCCAGATAACCTATAATTATATTGTCCATGTAAGTAATTTTTTTATCAATTTCTTCATGCCCGGACTGATTCGTGACCCACCTCTAATATCCCTGCTTCAAAATCGCTTGAAACTGGGTTTTAAGGGCTTTCAGAACGAACTCGTGAAAGAATCAGAGAAATCGGCTCGCAATCTCCACTCTGCGCATAGCTCAACAGAATGCACTGGTTCGCCGACTTTCTAAAAGAGTTAAATCGGAGAACCTTTCGCAGCATTCCCAAGAAGGGGTATACTGTAATTTAATGCATTATACCCCATTTTCTTGGGAGTACCTCTAAATACTCCAAAGTGTGTATCCGTTCAGATGAGGAGAAAATTTGTCGACACCCGGTGACCTCACTCAAATTAGTGTTTTATTCAAACTGTTTATTGCAAATCCCTTATGGTCGTGCAAAACATTACTACATTATTTGGGAAAAATAGAAAATAAAAGAGAGCACAGTCAATAAAACCAGTTTTCAAAATAATGATCATGCAACAAATCTTACAAACTAATAACTCACAAAGATGTTAAACGGTTGTCTGAGTTCATATCTTCGGCCTTTCGCTGTGGAATGAGTGATATTCAAATTGGCGCAAAAGTAACATTCGTTCACTTTTGAAAGAAACCATAACGGTTTATCGTTACGTTCGTAGGACGGTAACGAATATCACTAGCCCGTTAAGTTTTGACAATAGGGAATTGTAATAGACCGTTTCCGCAGCCCGCTAAGCACCCGGATAGCGCTCCGTAATCCACCACAAGACCTTGAACTATGCCGAGAAGGCTGGTGGCGCGCATGCGCAGCTGCGCCGTTTTCCTCGGGGATACCGTAGCGGAGAGGAAAAACGATCTACTGCAACTCCCTAATCTAACGAGTGACTCTATTTTGTTACATGTTTTCTGTAACGGGCACACCGGTGCTTGGGTCCCACTGGTGCAGAAAGCCCAACACCCAACATTGGAGCACGGCCCCTTGAAGTTGACAGTGCGGTGGGAGCTACGCGTTTGACGAACCAGACAACCAACTCGTTTTCATCTCCTGACCACGCACTCTGCGTGGATATGGCTGGGAGCACGGACATGCTCGTGCTCGTAGGTTCTACCACTAAACCAGCTTACGCCCTTTGCACCTGCCACCAATGAAAATGTTTAGCGTTCATTATAATTGGGTAAGTAATTTTGAATGAATAAATTGCACATTATTGATTTGAAGCGATTGGTTTCAAATAGAATCTTGCTGTTATGATCGAAAACTACTAAAAACACCCACGCGGCAAAGATATGAGGCACGCGCAGCATTCTACGACGTTCCGAAGAAATGCTCAATTTGGACGCGTATGTAGGTTTCGATTTCTTATCGAAGCACATCTCTGTGCCGGCGATCCCGCCCCCCGTGTCTAAGACGCGCAACGTGCGTGCGCCGCCACTCATCGCGCCTAGAGAAGTCTACATAAGAGAGCTTCCGGACAGTCACATGAGGTCCGCCTTTTTGACATCGGTGCCAGAGTGAAGACGCTCCTTCACGAGCAATGCGTGGCGGTGCACGCACGTTGCGCGCTTTAGACACGGGGGGCGAGATTGCCCACGTGGAGATGCTCTCCGAAAAGAAACCGAAAGCGAGATACGCGTCCAACTTGAGCATTTTTTCAGAACTCCCTAAAATACTTAGCGTGCCTCATGCCATTATAACATGGGTGTCTTTAGTCGTTCTCAATGATTCCGAGCAATGTTATCTTTGAAACCACCCCTTTAAAACAAATATTTGACAATTTAAGTACTCGGAATTTATTAATTATCCCATTATATTCAGCTCTAGCAATTTTCTTTTGACAGACCGCTACGGCATCAGGCTTCTTTATTGTGCGATGCGTACTTTCTGCAGTAGGACTTTTGCCCGTTTTTTTTTCTGGAAACACCCTATATGTCAGAACAAATATTTTATACGTTTGGGAACAGGACTACGCCTCCATCAAGTCTGGCGCATCAGGCAATAGTGACAACCACTGTACAGTCAGAGCAGATTAAGACATATTTAGATGGATTATACATATGTAGTTTTTAGACACATAACTATATACACAATTGAGTCAATTATGCCTTTAGTACAACACATGTATATGATCCGTCCACTACAAGAGGAATTTCGAATATTTAAAATCCTGACGAATTCAAGTGAAACTATCATCGTTTAAGCTTAGGTCCGAGCGTGGCCGATGTTATGAGCCGAAGGGCCAATCAAACAGCAAAAGAGGCACAAAGCCATGACGAGTTCTCTGCAGTTCATAGGACTACAGGAGTAGCCGGTATTCGCCATCTCTCTGTGCGTGCTCCTCCACCGGCTAGTTCTATCAAGCGCAGAGAGCACGCTATGGCTTTGCGCTTTTTGCACTGTTTTATTGGTCCTCCGGCTCACAAAATTGTCCGCGCTCGTACCTAAGGTGAAACGAAGTATATATGAACGCCAAATGAATAGCACTGAAAGTATGAATATCCTAAATGATGAGAACCGTCTTCGTGAATGCGCAAAAAAAAAAAGAAATCATGCAAAAGAAAACGTACATACGAGTATTACATGTAGCAAGCACATTGAGTGATGTCATCAGAATTCAGATACAAAAACTGGTCAAAAAGAAAAGGACGAAGAATATTACGAAATGAGATAGGAAATTTAACCGCATTTCTAAATCTTCGAGTCATGCATATTCTGTTGCAGTCCTATGAGCAAAGCATTAGTTTCCAGCTTGGTGTGTTAAATAGTTTCGAATATAGCTTTATTTCTCATCTAAAAATTATGCTGACCCCTCCTCATTACTCGGTTGCTCTTATACTTTCTTAACATTAGCAATATTCAAGATTGCTGTTGTTGAAAGACCTTAGTTATTTTATGAGTTCGTATGTTTATGGTCATGAGGAGGCCGACTTGAAAGGAACGTAAGTGACCCTACAGACAACCCAGAGACGTCAGGTGCATCACGCGATTAATGACTCTAAATGAATAAAGAAACACAAGGCTTCAAGTATTTTCTTTTTTTCGTGTACAAAAAAGAACTCTGGTCGCTTACTCTAAGGTAAATTTACATTTTTTAGCTGCGTTTACGCGATGAGTAAGAGGAGGGAACATTTTGAACCATGCGAAACACACACTGCTCGCAAGTAAAACCCTTGCAGGTCTATCGCCAAACGATATGAACACATGTCGGCGCTCGAGTATTTCGTTTAAACACCTTTCACAACTATGATGCGCGTGAGGGTTTCGATCACTTGCGATGTATCTTTCGATGATTGCTTAAACCGTTATCAGACGCAAATGCTCTACTGCAGGTCTCGCACTTGAACGGCTTCTCTCCGGTGTGAGTCCTCTCATGGTTCGCCAAACTGCCTTTCTGAGTAAATGCCCTGCTGCACGTGTTGCATTTGAACGGCTTCTCTCCGGTGTGAGTTCTAACATGAGCCTTCAAGTTACCCTTATGCGTGAACGTTTTTTCGCAGGCACCACAACTGAAGGGTCTCTCGCCAGTGTGAGTCCTCTCGTGGATGGTGACATCCTGTGCGGAAGAGCTTGAGTGAGGACAGAAGCGGCACGGGTGATTGTCCGGTTGTCGGAGCGTTGGCTGCTTGTGTGGGCCCGAATTGTTGGTCTGGGGAGATGTGTCACCTCTGCGGCTGGCACGGTCGAAGGTATCCACTTTGTCGCCATAGCCTGCTCCAATCCAGTCTGTTGGGATGACACGAGAGAGCAAGAAAGGTCGGCGCATTTTTAATTGTTCTGAACATGGTCCAGAATACCTACATTATGCCGGTGCGGCCTCCGTGGGCATTCGTTCATTTGAGATGTTAAAAAGGTTCATTCGCAAAGCTTGTAAATGTCTACAGGCGGTCGTTTAAGACTCGACTCTGGCAGCCCCATGGTGCGGCAGCTGTGGTGGCTTGCACGTTCTGCTACCCAAGTGCGGAAGGGAAGTCAAGCCGCCGCGGTCGCTGCTGCACAGTGTTGGCGGTAACGTGTTACAAGTAACGTCGTTACCGGTGACGCCTTTCGTTTTTCAGTAACGTGGTAATGTAATTGTTACTTTTCCAAGACAGTTACGGGTAACGTAGTTGCGTTAGTTATTTCAAGTAACAGATAACGTAATTAGGTTACTCAATACATCTTCTGAAAATTTGAAAAACGATGTTAGCGCAGAACGAGCGGGTTGGTAGGGATAATTAAACTTGAGGAAGAAAACGTGTTTGTCCCTCCCTTCTTGTTTTCTTCCTAAGTTTAATTTAAAAACGAACACCTGTATTTTTTGCCAGTTTCTATACATCGCTTTACCTAAAGTCCAGGCGCAGCTGATGCTACAAGCTGATGGGAATTACCAGAAAGAGGGAAAAGGGAACCATCATGGTGTTCTGCGTGTTCCTGTACGTGTTCAATCTTCGATGAACCAACCATAAACAGTCATGGCCCCTGACTTGTGATTTTGACGCTGGTTGATTCGTCCCATTAGCTCGTAGCGTCGGCTGCGTCTAGATTTAAGCTGAAACGTAGAACATGATTCAAGTAATTAATTATTGCACTCATTCTACATATTTTTCTAAAGTTTGCTTCTCTTTTTCCCACGCAGAAATTCCCACTTTAGAAAATCTCCAACGTCCGCGCCCGTCATCCCAGTGTTGAAAAACGCTGACACCAAAATAAAACAAAAACGCTGTTACCGTCAATTTCTAAATAAAAAGTAACGCAAAAGTAACATGCACTACTTTCTGCCGGTAACGGTAACGCGTTCCTTTCATTCATAATGATTGTGACTGTGTATTAAGTAGCACTGAAAGGGTCATTCACACACCCACAGATTATTATGTTACACAAAATAGCATTCAATAGGCTCGTAGAATAATCGTTGCGTAGCTTTGAAACTTGAAAAATCGCTAAGTTACACACCGAATATTTTACGAGCGATTTAAACAGGGAAAAACGCGGTTCTATATCGACAATGATGTGGACAGTTGCCAGTCTAAAGCTAAACTTCGGCGACACAAATAATGCAGGCAGAAAATATTCAATCATTTGAACAACGAAAATTTATTGGGCTATTTTATTCATTAAAAATCATTTATAGTGTTTTGACAGCCACTCGATCAATCGAAACTAAAAAAAGACTTTTTTTTTTAATTAATAAACTCAACACGGTACATTTTTTGGATATCAGTCAAGGAATATAGTGTAGCAATTGAAACTTCGAGTGCTCGGAAGGAACGTTCTTCCAGTAGAGCCCACCTTGATTGTTTACTTTCATTTGAGTTGTCGTTTCTCAGACTTTAAAATATAACTCCTTTATCTCCCCCCCCCCCCCCCCCATTTCCTAAGAAAATAAACGTTGCATTGTGTTGTGGTGTACTTTTCTGCTCGGTGCAGGGCACTAACCAAACCTTAAAGAACTTTCCACGTGGAAGAAACTTATGTACCACATCTGACTCCTTAGACTGAGGGGTCTCAAACACGCGGCCCACGACTTGCTGGGACGCGGCCCGCAGGCAACCGGCTACGTGTCGCGGTCCCAATGTCCAGAGCGCTGGAAATGGCATGCTCCATCTTGATCACATTTCGCCTATTCATTTTTACTCAAAATGTAGCCCTGCTCTTTTAACGTATTCACATAGTTTATGCTTATCTCTGTTCATTTGCCCTTTGTTTCTCTTTATATTTCTCTTGCCAGATTTTTGTAATGTACAATAATTCCGCGGCTAGACTGCAAGCGCAAGCTGTTCGTTGAAGGATGCATTTCGTCGGCGCGACCAATCAGCAGGAGCAACTGGCAAAGATAAAGCTACGAGACTGGTTTCCAAATTTCCACACTATCTCTTTTAGCCACCTACGGCTCCTCCCCCTTCCCCAAGCCGGGTAGCGACTCGCCCCGTACAGGAGGCCAACATCTCTCCCGGCTTTGCCTTTCCTTCTCTGGACCTCACAGCAAGAAGAATAAGAAGAAGCTCGGGATTCTCACCATCAAAAAGCTGTTACGATTAAAATACAAGTAATTGTTCGAGTGTTGTGGTAAAAATCGTCTGGAAAACAACAACTGTCACATTAACTGATTGTTTTTTGAGACATCTTGAGCTTGATTAATTCCTGGGTGGATTGAGCAACGGGAACGACGGTGTGCTTGTTCTATTAAAATGCCAGCATGTTGGTGGAGCGGAGCCATTATATTCTTATCACATCAGGTCAAGGCCCAAAGCAGGCTTATAAGCAAATCAAATGTAAAGATGTCACTAACAAATCTTTGACATAAAAAAAAATGAAGCACAAGGTCCCTCTCCTCCCTCGTCGTACGTTGGCCCTCGACTTTTCAGGCGTGAGATACCTGGCCCCCACTCTCAAATGAGTTTGAGGCCACTGCCTTAGAGTTTCCACGTTCTTCCACAAAACAGCACTCAATAAGCTCGTAAAATACTCGTTTTGTACCTTAGAAACTTAATAATTTGCGAAGATGTTTTAAAAGATGTTTTAATTCGACATTCGAATGCACATTTGCCAGTCTAAAGCTAAAGCTAGGTGTCACAAATAATGTTTTGAGAAAATCTTCAAGTATTTAAAACAGCCAAACCTTTTTGGGTTATTTTATGCGTCAAACGGAATTTGTAGCCTTTGTGAGAGCTACTCGATCAACCGGAACAAAAGGAAAAAATACAATTTTGTGATATAAATAAGCAACTCAGCATGGTACATTTCTCTGATATCAAAAAAGATGTATTAATTGCAACTTGGAGTGCTCGAACTAAATGTTCCTTCAGTTGAGCCCAGCTTGTTTGTTTACTTTCACTATAGTTGTAGTACACGGACTTTCGAATGTAACCCCTTTATCCCACGGGAGGAAAAATTTGTGTACCTCTTCAGACTCCTGACATTTTCCACCTTTTGGAAAACCAAGCTTACAAAACGTTTTTCAATCCGTGTGGAACCAACCGTTCATGAACATGGGAGGGTGTGCTAACAAGGCGCGAGGCTGGATGAGTGTTTTCCCGTGTGCGTCTTCGCATACCTGGTGTTGTTAGTTCTCTGGGCACCATAAGATCAGGGGCAGAAATCGCACCGCCGTCTGTCCAACCCTGCGGGTCCATCTTGCATGGTTGCCGCTGGATTTCGGCCTTTTGGAAAGAGAGCTCCGCGCTCCTGTCCTCGCAGTCCGTTCTCTGCCATTTGTTGTCGAATGCTGCGTGGGCAATTTCTGTTAGGAGTGAAGGCAAAATTTTATTTAGTTGCCTTCTTTTTATTTAGACTACACCAAAAGAGAAGCCCAACCAGAACAAACTCCAAGAACAAGCAAACAGAGACACATCGTGCAGATAAAGAAGAGAAATTCAGGGGTTTACATACGTATTGGGGTGTGATTCAAAAGGTAAAATAATCAAAGCACGAACAAACACGCGCATCATAACTGGATATTGAAAATCCCGAAAAGGTCGATTGTAAAAAATGCACGTGAACAAAACTTAAAAGCAATACTTCTCTATTAACCACGTACTACAAATGTTTCACTTCACCTTTAAACACTCGCTAAACATTACGTCGAAACAATCCCACACAAATCGAGCAAGACACAACTGAATATGATCAAGGAGCATTGTTTAGTTACGTCGCTCCTGCTCTGTAATGCTGAAAAAAGGCAGGCACGACACAAAACCAACTGTACGGTATTTCGCCGCCATAGGTTTTGGGAATTACACGTCAACAAAAACGGGGATACTGTGTGTCGGCGAACAAATCTATGGAAGGAATAAGGTCGCAAGTAGTTGGCTGAGCTGTGGCCATTCCTTATTGGATCCGACTAGTTGGTCCCATTAATCTGGGGAAGTCTAAGCCCAAAGGTCTGGCACTGCCAAAGTTGAGCTGGGCTGGTGGCTGGCCTCGGTCTGCAAGGTTTAGAAGAATGAGTATTAATAAACAGTCGCCAACACAAAGTTACTTTACCTGCCATCAAATATTGTCACATTCGATGAGCAAATCTAAAACTGAAGGATACCAGTGCCTGGAATTGCTCCAGTTGGCCATTCATTACTTCATTAAATTGCGCAGTAAATGATTAAGAATTCCGACGCAGAGACGAGAAAAAAGAAGGCAACAAACGGGAAAACGCGCATTTGCAGTTCAGTTTAATCAAGTAAAAAACTAAAGGCCACTTTCGAAATTAAACAGGACATGGATGACAACACCATTTATCAGTAGGAGGGTACCTGCCAGACATTTCAATCTGAAGGACCCGGAAAAATTACGTACTATGGGACTACACCATTTCAAAGTGTGAATGTTTTGGCCAAATAACACTGACCATTTCTATTTCCACGAGAGATGTTTCATTATATATGCAGCGTCAAACCGCTAGCGAGGAGGAAAATGTGTGCCGGTTCCGTCTGTGCCGCATCCACGCGACTAATGCCACCATTTATAAAATGATATGCAGTGCAGATCAATCATTCAGGCTCGCATTCTGCCAAAAACTAACATAAGCGGGGCCCACTTAGGAAGAACGAGTTTTAGCTGAGATACTTGGTTCACGTTCACGAGTTCCCCAAAAAACCGCATTGGTAAAAACCATTTTAGATCATCCAGAATTTGACCATAAAACGTTATAATTTGGTTAAGGCATCTCTAGTATAAATTGATCACCATTCAACACCAGTACAAAGTTTCCAGTTCCTATTACAAGGCAAATGTTTGTTTTCTCCTTTTTATTTCTTCCAACTCAAGACAAGCTTGAGTGGCTTTCTCCTCTTGACCTTAAGAGAAGGTGAAACGCTTCTTCCGAAAAAAAAGATAGAGGTTGATTTCTGCGTTGTTTGATCCCGTAATTCTGAAGATTTGGTTTGTTTTCCCCGAAGATGTAACTAAATGCGAGAACACACGAAAGACCTTTGACCAGTCGTTACGTCATAAAAGGATCTTTCGGCCGCCAAGCGCGTGTCGCTCGTGAGCAATCGCAGGCTTGCCACTCCCCTGCACTTTCAGCAATCATGACGTCTTTTTTTTTCCCCTTTTTAAAAATAGCAAGAGTCGCGTGCATAACTTTGACAGGCACTGAAGATGCGCGAGAGCGGAGATTCCGGAAACTCCTTTTATGACGGCACGCTCCGGGAAGGAGGGCCTTCAGCGGTACTTTCAAAATTATTTTCTACTGCCTTCGTGCATGAAATTGAAAAATAAATTAACCATTGGGCTTCCTGGAGGGCAAATTAAGACAATTTAAGTGTGTTTCCTCAATTACAAAACCGCTTCAGCTTTCCTTTGAAGGCATCTCATCTTCGAGACCGCCATAGCTTTAAACATTTCGAATCCCTCGTTAGTTTATTCGTAGTTTTGTTTATGCATTTTTAACAACTTCTACACACCTCCTCTGTAAAGTCTTCGCGGACCCTGAGAGCATGGTTCAGGCTGGAACATGGCTCGTATTACTGATTTTGTTCAGCCCTGTTCCGCCAGCTTTTCAAAACCAACTTTAGGGGTCGGTCTTGGTACCTGGTGAGAGCGATAGCATTCTCGCTTACTGATTGGACATGACGCCTCAGCGTTTTGCTCTGCGAGAGTTATCGACAAGTGCGAAGTCATGTCACTAGATAATCTCTAGTCTGTTCGCGAGTCCTTTTGGTGAGAGCTACTCACCAACATACGGATGGTGACAGGGTTCTCGAGGTATTTAAGGTATTTGTCCCGAGTACTACTTACATAGAAGAATTTGAGCTATGTAGGGCAGCGGGGCTGGAAATTTGCAGAGGGAGCGCTTGTTGTCGATCTCATCGAACGGGAAGTATAGCAGACCATTTTAGTTTCAGCTTGCGTCCCGTGTCACTTTCTCGTGGCACTCGCAAGCTTTTAGCAGACGGCTGCCTTTATTCCGGTTCGTTTACGGAAGACGTAAAAGATTTTCTTGTTTTCTCTTTGTCTGCGAATGACGCTTCGTAGCAGCCGAATTCTGTTGTTCACCTAAGTTAGCAGACTAGTCATCTGCAGACGTTTTCTTGACTCGCTCCGTAAAGACCCGGTAACACTGCTCGTACACCAAGCAAAAAGCAGTGTGCAAATACCATCTGAGGCTCGTTTCTTTCTCGTGTCATTTCATATTGGGCCTACCAAAACTGACTGCGGACGTGTTCAAAGCATACATATGTGTGCTTTGAACAGGTCTGCAGATAGTTTTCTTAAGACCCAACATGAGAGTACGGTCATAAAAGAACGAAGTTCGGCAGTTAACACACTTGTGACTGTTTACGACCGGAGGGGCTTGTGAACCATCTTGTGACTGCTGATGACCGGCCGCTGCGCTGAAGGTCATAAGTAGTCACCAGTGTTTTAAGCATGAGCGGTTGTAAGCATAGCAATAAGAAATTAATATACCTGCCTTTACTTGAGCAAACAATAAAGCAAACACGCAGATAGTGCACGCCGTTTCACCGAATTAGAGACCACCACCATCAGAGATTCTACATAATAAACCAAAAGTAAGACACACTATTCAGTTTGTCCGCATTAAGGCACACTTTGAGGGGTTATACAGATTCAATCAATAAATGTATGAAAGGCTTTGAAAGGAGTGGGAGGGGCGGGGGGGGGGGGTGAGGGCGTTAAATAGGCAAAGTGAGGTAAAGCAGACAATGGAAAGTTTACACGCTGCAGGCTCAACTGTAGCCATCTCATTTGATCCGACTCTGTCGCATACGTGTAAAGACATAATGTAGCACAAAGACGTTGCACCACAGAAGGGGGACTCGGCTGGTGACAGACCAACTTTCCAAAGCTGCAAAATGTCATTCACATCTGTGTCCAAATTCCTGCCGAGTTTGATCTGCAAGGTTAGAAAGACGACGGTTAATAAACAGGAAGGAACGGAAAGCGACAATACTTGTTTGTACCTTTAACTACGTATATTTAGCACGGTGAAACTGAGTGCGAAATTAAAAAAAAAAACAAGCATCGCAAATGAGGAATGAAAGAGTACAATTAAGATTTACATTTGAATGATATGAGTATGCACTGATCACCCGAACAAGGTAATATTCAGAGCCAACCTAGCGAATCAGTACACGAGATGTATCGTCCACTTCAACCCCTGCAATACTATGCTGTGATTGAAATTCTGTTCTCGTGAGTTTGACACGCCGTATTCCGAAAACAAAATGAGTATTAAAACTTCGTTTGGGGCTGAGGCGTATGAAGATGCGACCCATTAGGTCTCAGATTAATGGGGGTGAACGCAGTACAGCTGCGTTTGCATCTTCAGGTGTCAGTCGTCCCAGCTCTTCTTCTTAGAAGTTGTTTAGATTTCAATGGCTGCTGTGTGAATCTTCTTTCCTTCGCCATCCTGTACTGCCTTGGTCGACTGTTAAAGAGACACATCATGTATGAGATTAATAAATTCTGGTGTTTTCTAGCTGAGGAACAACCTTAGGTGTCTACTTCTGCCGGTTGATAACTCCAGTCCTGAACAAGACAACAAGGCTGAAGAGGCAGCGGTAGCTCCAGATTAGAATCCCTTAATCTTTCTTGGCGGCCCTCACAGAGTGGTGGCAACACTTGCGTCTGCTAACGGAGAGGCCACCTTATCTTCCGACACTACAACCTATTGTCCCGACACTACAACCTATTGTCCCGACCAGCCCTTGCTGAAGGATATGAAGATCGACCCTTTGCATCAAGTTCCCGTTTCTCAAGAACGGTTCGACAATCGTGTGGAGTCGTTTGTGGTTGAGGCGCTACAGTCATATACTAACAGCTGTCATATACTAACAATGAAAAACAAAATATCTAAAACTAACCTAAAAGTAACATTTCTTAGTAATGGCAAGTAAGGACACCGATATATCGTTGCAGTCGCAAAATGGTAATGGAGCTCTGTAACACGTTAGCTTTTTTCCAAGCTAACGAGTTACGATATTTCGTTACTTATTTTCGGTAATGGACACAACACTGCCAGGAAGCCTCTTACTGTTTTGCCGAAGCCAAAGTCCAATAGCACAAGGCTCGCTGGAGCGCGAACGTTATCGCCGGCATGGGCCTTGAGAGTGACGCAGACGGGCCCGCACAAAGAAGCGCCACGAACTGCATGAAGAAGCAAAAGGGATTAGACGAC